AAGATTTTGTAGCAGATTAAAATCATTTCCTCGTTTCATCATGCACTTAGTTCATGACGCATCAAATACAAAATGCACCGGTTTCATTTTCATCTTCACCAACTAAATGGATCAACTACAGAATCAATATAATGGGTTCACCATGAAAATGTTTTGGTTCACATAATTTATTTGCAACATGAACCAGTTTCACGTTCATGAAACCTCTTTTATTTCTGGATTTTTTTTGTTCATCTACGATTTGATGATTTCATTATACACTTCAATTGTTTCATCAAGACCCGTTTGCTGATTCTTAAAGATTACAATATATGAAATTCCAAATTTTTAATATTATAATATAATTAAATATTTAAATGTTACCATTTATACAATTTTCTTTATTACGTTTCCTTAATTAAGATTTATTAATAACTTTCATATTTAATAGAAAATATTGTAAATGACTGAAATACCCTTATTGATTAATTTTAATTAGAAAAAATGGAATTTTTCTATTGGTCGAAATTAGTTTACACGGTTTCTTAGAAATACACGATTTTCATTTGAACGTGCCCCTATATCTATATATATATATATATATATATATATATATATACTTGGGATCATGTGAGACCAAGGGTTTTTCGTGAGACCCGTAAGACCAATTCTCAACCCTTGGATTAGATTTACAATCGTCAAATCTGAACATTTATAAACGCCATGAGACTTCTCACTAATTACGAAATTGCCACCTTGCAACTTTGCAACCATTAGATCATTAATTCATAAATTTGATCAATGAACATAAATTGGTCTTACGGGTCTCACGAAAAACCCTTGGTCTCACGTGAACCCAACCCTATATATATATATATATATAKAGAGAGAGAGAGAGAGAGAGAGAGAGAGGCCTAATCAAATGAGAATTGATTAGTTTGTGGTAAATGTGAGGTCCAATCTCAACCACAAATCAACGGATAAATTAGAAAATTAATAATATGGTAGTTTGAGTTAAAATTATAATTAGAAAGCATTTTAGGTATTTTTAAAAAACTCCTCTCTCCTCTCTCATCTCTCCGACCTCCAATCTCCGATGAACATTAATCCGACGAGTACCAAATAATCACAAAGATACACAATGTGATACCCATTGTGATATACTGTGATAYCATTGTGATACCAACTCAAACCTTAAAAACAAAKATACACAATGTGATACCCATTGTGATATACTGTGATACCGATTTCATCGGAGGCCGGAGATTGGAGGTCAGAGAGATGAGAGAGGAGAGAGGATTTTTTTTAAAATACCTAATATGCCCTCTGATTATAATTTTAACTCAAACTACCATAATTATTAATTTCCTAATTTATCCGTTGATTTGTGGTTGAGATTGGATCTTACAGTTACCGCAAACTAATCAGTTCTTCCTTCAATGGGTCCCTATATATATATATATATATATATATATATAAACTAAATAAAAGTATGTTCGTATTTTATGCTAGTTTTTGTTATCATTTTTTTAGCAAAACCGTCTTAATATCTTTTGTAAGCTACAAATGAAATACAGATAAACTCATTGCATGGTCTTGAAGTTATATCTGATTGATACTTCAAACCTTGTTTCGATCTATTTGTATGTATGCACTGATATTTAATATTATAAATTGATTAATAACGTTTTAAAACTTTTGAAACAGTCATAGATTTAATAAACTAAAATTTTAGTCAGTTAAAGAAAATCAGAAATAGATATGCCCTGATTTCTGACGAAAAATTGGCAAGTTTTCACAAGCCAACACAATAAAACCAAAAGAAAAGTATAAATCATAAAGAACGTAACGGGGTTTTAAAACTTATTGATGAATTAACAAATAAGTACAAAAGAGGAAAAGCCGAAAAGGGATGTCGACAGTGATACAAGAAAATTATATGTATTTAAACAAATAGGTTCGGACTCATTTATGAGTTGACTCAGCGAGTTGTATTATTAGTTGAATTTAAAAGATCAGGGGTATTTATTGAACGAGAGAAATTAATAAAAACCATGTTAAAATTGTTATGATACGATATAAACTTGTCTATTACGGTTAACGACTGGATAGAAATATACGGTCCAATGGGTATGCATGTATAAATCAACCAAATAGATATAATTAGGTTTTATTATATAAAAATATTATACTGATATATTATACATCACACTGTTCCTCTTTTTTCCTACTAGGAGCAGAAGTTTTTGAGGTAACCGTGAGTATCCGGACCAGTGAAATTATATGTTTTACATATCCATACGATTGAGTTCTTGCGTTTCTAAACTGAAATTTTTTAGATTTGCCACTTATAACGACGTGAAACATTTGTATAGTTAAATACCAATAAAAGATTATTGTTTCTTGTTTAATTGTAATCCAAGTAACATTACCTCACCGGATGAATATAGTAAGGACCAGGAATCTTACCCGGTAAGAACGTGACAAAGACCAAGAGTCTTACCCGGTAAGAACGAGACAAGGACTAAGAATCTTACCCGGTAAGTGAGGGCGACGAATCTTACCACAGTAAGCGCTTACCGAGTAAATTGGTGTATACTGTGTCGTTTTGGTGGACTAAAATCTTACCCGGTAAGTATATAATAGTGTTAAATTTTGCCGGTAAGCACTTACCGGGTAAGTGTTTGATAAACGGCCCCTAAATGTGGATTTTTTCATGATAATAGAACGAGACGATTTGTAGTATGAGACAAAACGAAGCACATCAAAATGACGAAAAAGGTTGTAAACTTTTGAAAAGGCATAGTGGTGCTGCGTTACATGGATCAATGACATTATGTCATTATATAATAATGGCATCGCAATGTAAGAGTAGAGTGAGAGATGACTTTAGGGGCATTTTTGGCACAAAAAGTGCATTCATTATGTATATGTATATGTATATGGGTAGAGGTTCAAATGAAAACATCTTCATTTTACGAGAACGCGAGAACACATTTATCACATGTGATAATACGCGTGAGGGGACCCCGTGATGGCAGACGACGTGTTCTACGACTTAGGTCGCGCCAAAGGTTGCCTGTGTCTATGATTTAGCATCACATGTGATGGGCTTGATGGATTATAATATCATATCAACAACACTCTTATCACAGATCCTTATATGTAGATTGATATTTCACAAAATCAGGTATAAATTACCTTCAACTACGTTGAATTACCATTTTAATCTGATATATTTCATTTTCATATTCTATTAGCTTAATCCGAAGCAAAGCTTTTATATTAAGCTCAACTAGTTTTCTTAATTTGTAAAAGAAACAGATATTTAGGTTTCATACGTTCGTTTGACGATGCTTCAAGAATAACATTTCCATTTTTTTTTCTCGTCAAGTGTTACAGGATTTTCTTTTGTGTTTTTGAAATTATTGGATAATTTTTGTAATCTGGAACTTCTTCTTCTGTTTGTTATTATTGCTTCTAAAATAAAATCATAAAAAACAGTTTTAGTTAGTATATATTAAACTATACATAAATTTATATTCCAACTACACTCAACAACGTTCAATTGCCCTCAAACACCTCCATTTAGTCTGAGTTACCTTATTTCAGATTACGTTTAACTACTGTCAATTACGTTAAAACACATTCATTTACTCGGAGTTACCTTATTTCATATTATGTTCAAGTACTGTCAGTTACGTTGAAACACATTCATTTACTCTGAGTTAAACCTTAGGGTTAAATTAATCATAAACTTATGTCAAAAATCAATTAGATTAGTATAGATATCTGGAAATCATTACAATCAATGAAAAGTAACGAAATTTAGGGTTTCTTAGATTGCGTAGAAATGTATTTCGAAAGTATCTAGAAAACGATTAGAATAGAACGTGTTAGTTGATTTCACTTACTTTATTTGATTGTCGTCGGTTTTATTTGATTTTTACCGGAGAATGGGTGGAGATCGGAGTTTTTGTCGTTAAGGAGGGGGGGAGAGAGAGAGAGAGAGAGAGAGAGAGAGAGAGACTAATTTTTACCTTTTTTAAGTATGTGTTTTTGAAGTGTAAAACCCTTGACTAGTATTTCTTTGTTAATTATTTTACAAAATTGCCCTCGGGTCTTTTCGTTATGTTCAATATTACCCTTGTTTCTTAATATCCTTTGATCTCGACTTAAATTTGATCTAACGATTGACAATCCTTCGTACTTTTCTCATGTTAACTCAACTTTTCGTTGGAACCCAACCATATATGTGAAGGTTCAAATGTAGAAAAGTGGTCTCACGGGTTTCACAAAAACAGGTTGGTCTTACGTGAATCCAACTATATATATATACACACACACACACACACACACACACACAGAGGAGCAATCAAATGCAAACCACCCAATTTATACAAACCACTCTCATCCTTCAATTTCATTGTTTAATCTTGTGAAATTGTTTCATGTAATACTTTTTTTGATAAAGTTGTTTCATATATGGTTATGAAATTGTTTCATATAATACTTAATGAAATTGTTTCATGTATTTTTTTTAAATTAAAAAAAATGAAGATGATAATATCCATGATTAACATCCTCCATAACAAAAATGATTAATCAACCTCTGATAATCACAAAAAAAAATAAACAAAATGAAAAATTATGAGTAAACATTCTCTCTCTCTCTCTATATATATATATATATATATAAAGTTAGATGATTCTTATAACGGGTTTTTGATATTCATTGATTTCTTTATCCCCTTTTTTTGGATCGGCTGGTTTTAACAACCAATTTTGAACTCTAATATAACTTAACTAAATCAAAATGCTTTACACTTTATTAAACTATTCACGTTTTGCATGATGTACATACATATACACATATATATATATATATATAACACACACACACATATATATATATATATATACATATGTATATAAACAAAAAGAAATGTGGACATGTGGGACAATATGATATGAAGGCAATGGGGCCTATGAAAACCGCAACTGTCATACTTGTTTTTAATGGCAAATTTTTGGGAGAAGACTCGGAAGAGTCTTCACTCATGTTCTCCAAATACTCATATATATATACATATATGTATATATATCTCAAATGTTAGGTTCACTTCTGGAAGAATAACTACAATTCTTACGTGATTCTCATAATCACTCTCATCATCATCATCTTTTTCACTTTCTTCAATCTTTTCAACCATTTCTTGATGATTATCCAGGTAATCCATACGTTAATTCATCACTTGTACACTCTCTAAATGTATCACCAATCATTCTTCACAATGATTATTACAACTTTGTGATTTGATTTTCGTAGTTTTTTGGGGTTTCTTCTTATGATTTGGGATTTACTTCAATTCTGTTCTCCGGGTTTTTAGGATCGTAGATTCATTTCACTTACTCATCTCATACAATCATTTTGAGAATTTATAGGTGACTTCAAGTAATTAATTGATGTCTGTCAAAATTGATGAACGAATTTGTCTATTTCTCATGATTTTAACTGTACTGAAGTTATACTGTTTGATCAAATGCCTTAAAGAGATCAGGATCAAAGATAATATCATCAACAAGAATTCGGTGCCATAAGTTTGTAATATTTTGATCAAATTAATCAGAAAGATTGATTGTTTAAACCTTTTTCTGTTTTGGATGTTTGTGATCGATGAATTTCGTGTTGATCCGAGTTTTGAGTTATGGTAAATTTTCTTGATAGGGTCATGAGGTGCCGAGTGGATGGCCTTTTGGGCTCGGAAGTATGAACACGAGACTTAGTGTACGAGAGAGTGGTGTGGCTGTAACCGGTGGAAGAGAACCGAACACTTTTCATGGTCCGTCATCGAGTTTTTCTTCGTTTTCATCATCCAACCTTGACACAGAGGTAATTTACGCCTTCTAGCTCTTCGATTTTCCTTCCCAATAAACGTAAAAAGGATCGTTAAGTTTTTCATATGGTGCTAATAATTCATCTGAATCCTTCGATATACGCTATTATACGGTACCAGTTTAATTGCATTCATGTCCTTTGATCTTGGACCTGCAAAGCATCTTCGATAGCTTTCTTTAAAACGGAGAAAATTGAAACTTTTGAGTTTTTAAAGGCGTTTTTTCTCTCTAACAATTTCTTTAAAATTGAGAATATAATTAAATATTTTGATAATATAATTAGGGGGTGTTTGGGATTGATTATTTAAAACAACTTATGTTTTTTTGTAAAAGTATTTTATTAACTTATGTGATATTAAATCGGAGTTTTGTAAAAAGTATTTGGATTAACTCATAGCGGTACCAAAAAACAATAAGCTGATAAGTTATTTTTTTAGTGTTTGACAAATTTTGCTTATATATGTAAAACGACCAAAAAGAATAGTTTTCCATATTATCCATATGAAACTAGATGTTATTTCATTTTAAACAAAATACATGACCCTTGCTCTTTTTGGCAACATGGGTGTCGGATCCGTTTGTATGCACCTCGTCGCATAAGACCCTAAAGATAACAGTCAAAGAAATCCTCAATGATCCTGAAGAGACTCGAACTATTGCTTCATGTGTCTGTGTTTAAGCTTAGAACACCTTCGACAACACGTATTTCAACCCTAAAACGATAAACAACAACCAGATCTCGATTAAACCAAAACCATAATACACGATGAAATTATCGGCCTGCTTTTAATCTTAAAATGACGTTCTCTTAACAAACAGTCCACAGCGTCGTTCTTTCAAGACAACAGCGTCTCACTAGGCCGACTGATTGGAATCGCACCACGAGAGAACAGAACCTTATACTTTCCCAGAACAACGTGCATACCAGACCAAAGATCCCAACGCTCCAAGGTATCGACTAAAGCTCACGAAATCGAAACATCTCACGGGATTTGCGTTCCGAACTTGTTGAATATTTTGGTCAAGATCAGCAGAAGTAAAAGCCACACAAGACAGTGAAGAACACTTCCAAGTTAGGAACTTATGGCTCTTCATTAGTGAATATGATCATAAGAGTGTTATGTGTTAAGGTTTAGAACCAAAACGAGTGCATTTTTCAGTTTTCTAGTTATCCTTTGACTCGATTTGACTCGATATGTGTTTTGTACACTTGATAGAAAATAAAGATGAAACACGTAAAATGAAGAATAAATGTGACGTAAAAATGTTTGTTTCTTTGGTTCATCAAAGTCTTTAAATTTATCGATGTTTAGACTGTGTCACGTAGCATGTCGAATACAAGTGTTGTGCAATGTACTTGATATGAAGCAATAAACGATAGCGCCAAATATCATTTACCATAAATTTCATCAACATGTAACGTAAAGGGTGTTTACATGTGCGTTTCAAAATGATTATTGTGACGAACAAAAATCAAAATCAGATAATCAGTTATAATAAACGACTGATGTTAGGAATCGTTAGAAAATTTTACATTTGCCCTGAAATATTCGTCAGTTATTAATCGATGCTCAACTACAATCATATCATTACAATCTCTTATCAGAATTCAGAAAACATTAGAGAACGTTTGGTTAAAATCAAAAAAGAACACGAATGATAATGTTCGGGAACATTAATTAAGGGCCCTTTACCAAAAACTTATTGGGTAAGCGGTTACCCAAAGTGTTGAGCATGGCAAGGACCAAGAATCTTACCTGGTGAGAGAGAGAGAAGATTCTTATCCGTTAAGCACTTACTCAGGTGTCATTTACCTTATCGGGTGAGCATGGCAAGGACCGAGAATCTTACCTAGTGAAAGAGAAGACTCTTATCCGATAAACGCTTACAGAGCAAAAGAAAAAAGCTTAACAACAATCCATTTTGATTGCCGAAAATGCTATCCACTAAGGTAAGTGAAGGCGATGACTTTTGTCATTAAGCACTTACACGATTAGCATTTGGTAAAGAAAAAACAAACACCATTCAGCTAGTTTTTAACAAAATTACCTCTAAGATGTGTAAGACCCAAAAAACCACATAAGTTGCTATAAACACTCCAATCTTACACCTTTCTCTTTGGCATCAAGTAAACAACTACAAGCATAACTAGTTGTGATCAACCAAGAGAATCCCAACTTATGATCATTTGAAAAGGTAACCACTTAGAATGAAATTAAGGGTAGTAGTTAAGACAATATCAACAACAAACGGAAACCGGCCTCTTTTGTAGTTATATATCGAAAAAAGCCCACAAGTCACAAGAATAATCTGACCTCAAACCGAGCCACGAGGAAAAGGAGAGACCCTGAATCATTCTTCAGCAACGTTCACCAACTCATATTCGATTAGAGACAAGTTGTTATCCTCTTTGACGGTGAAACTGGCGGGTTCTGTAACCTCAATGCGTCCCCATTTATCGACAGCTAGTCTCATGGAGCCTTTGAACATGTCGATCTTTGCATTGCGGATTATTACGGTGGTTTCAGGCTTCATTAAGTCAACTACAATAAAGACATATGACCATCAACACCACATCACCGTATCATCGCTATGATTTTGCAATCAAAATTCACACCTAGTACTTTTCAGATTCAAATTGACGAGTATTTAGGGGTTGTTTGGTTGGTTTTCCATTAAGTCATGTCTGTGTCAATTACTTTGTCTGTATAGATTGAGAAGGTTTTTGTTTGGGAGGGCTTCTCTATAGATGGAAAGAGCGCAATTGGGAGGGCTAGGTTTGGAAAAAACTTGGCTTTTGGCATTACCACCCCGCCCCCCTTTTTAAGAAGCTTAGTGAATAAGTCACTTTCTATTTCTTAAGCCACAACCAAACAGTTATGAATAGCTGACCGAGTAAGTGTCCCGTTAACAAACAGGCCCTTAAGTTTTATTACCCCCAAAAGTTTATGTCATTATATCATCCAAATGTTGACATAAAGCAAATAATTCCTGTCAATTTGAAGTTGAAAAAAAACTCATTTAAAGGATTAATTCATAATTTGTTGCAGATCAAAGCAGTTGGGGGACTCTTAAGCTTACATGGTCACTTAACGAGCCCTAAACAGGAATTTTAGAACACTGGTTATCATCAAGTTCTTAAACGAAAAGGTAAAGGAATATGTAAATTCATGGTGCCCATAAAGAAATCCTTATTGTGACATACAAAAGATAGAACAAACGGAGCATATCAGATTAGGGGGCCGTTTATTAAACGCTTACCCGGTAAGTGCTTACCTGGTCACTTTACCTTATCGGATGAACATGACAAGGATTGAGAATCTTACCCGGTAAGAGCAACAGTAAGGACCGAAAGTCTTACCTAGTAAGTGAGAGTGACGACCCTTACCCGGTAAGCGCTTACCAGATAAAAATGTTGCATACGATGTTGTTTTAATAGATTAAAATCTTATTCGTTAAATTAAGTGAAAGCGTTGAATCTTACCGGCAAGCTTAACAGGTAAGAGTTGGGGTAAGCGACCCCTAACTTTGATACACTAAAATATCCATGGTGTAACCAAATCAGAGCTAAAAGGAAAGTTTCAATAACTTGCTGAGCAAAAAGGCAACTATCTGTTACCTATTAAGCACTATGCAGTAATGATATAAAAGTCATTTGAAAACCAACATTTCATCTTCCAATTCTGCCCTATATGAATCACACTGGAGAAAAAATCTTGAGCTTGACGAATAGCAAAAAGAAATCAAATTCACAACATCAATTGGATGCCAAAATCTGTCAGAGTACAATAACTTGCTGAACAGAAAGGTAACTATCATAAGATCTATTACCTATTATGCACTATGCAGTAATGATGTAAAACTAATTTGAAACCCCAACATTTCATCTCTCAATTCTGTCCATATAAATCACACTCAGAGAGTAAATCATGAGCTTGACGAACAGCAAAAAGAAATCAAATTCACCAAATTAAGTGGATGCCGAAATCTAAGAAAGTACGAGTTCAATAACTTGCCGACTAAAAAGGCAACTATCATAAGATCTATTACCTATTATGCAATATCCAGTAATTATACAACGTCATTTGAAAACCAACATTTCATCTCTCAATTTTGTCCGATATAAATCACTCGAAGGTAAATCATGAGCTTGACGAACAGGAAAAAGAAAATATCAAATCCACAAAATCAATTGGATGCTAAAATCGAAAGTGTGAGTTTAATTTTCCCTTTTGCAGCTCGTCGAGCTCATGATTCACTGTGATCTATATCGGACAGAAATGGAAGATGAAAATGTTGGTTTTCAAATTACTTCCATCTCATTACTGTATAGTGTGCATAATAGATGAGATTTCCACCAGTGAGTACATCAAAATCAAAGAAAGTATCACACAAAAAGTGAGTGAGTGTTTGTGTGTGTGAGAGAGAGATACCTTGATCGTTACGGGCAGTGAAAAGAACGGTGCCGGTTTCATCGCCGATAAGGCACTCGGAGATGCGAGTATGAGCAGCGCCAGGACGGCTACTGTACGAAGACGTATTGCGTGATTTCTTGTCTAAGACGGTGGTGGAAGACAACACTTTAACGGCGAGCGTGTGGCCGTTGGTTCCAGGCTTAAGCTCACCAACCTTCACAAAAACGGGCTTCCTCTTCGCCACTCCTCCTCTCCCACCTTGTTCCGGTTGTTTAATATCTATCTCAGCCTCCGCCGTCGACATCGCCACCGTAGAATCAAAGTTCCGTCAGTTAGTTGACTTATCCCTCCAATCGATAAACCCTAACCCTAAGATCGCTTTCAAGTGTAACATTAACATCTTGTTTTTGCATTTTGGGGATTTCGGGTTTAGAGTATTTACAGTTTTCGTCCTTTATGTTTTTAAATATGACAATATAGTACTTTTATTTTGGTTTATTCAATTTCACATTTCTTTTAATTTTACACTAGTTTTGTACCCGTGCAATGCGGCGGGAGTCGTGAATTTTAACGATTTTAAAGTTTCACTAGTTTTATTAGAGAATATTTAATAATAATATAAGTTACAATTGTTTTTTACATAATAATACAATTTGAATAAATAAGAGTTATGGTTTCAATTACAGTCTATCGACCAAAAAAATTGTATGACAATTTAAATTCCAATATATTTAAAATCCAATGTATTTAAAATCCAACATATTTAAACGACTCCACAAATGTGTTCGATTTACACCATTAGCAAAGAATCAAGAGATCAAGAGCGAGACCGAGAGTTCTAGAGCAATTGAATGGGAGATGAATTAGATAACTTTTAGTAACTCATTGTGAATATCAGTTTGAATCTCACTTTAGGAGATGAGGAGAAGACATTGAGGTATGAGAGGGTGAAGGCATGAGTGAAAGGTGTCAAAAGTATCTTGGAACATAAAAAGAAAAGATAATAATGTGCATTGTAACTTGCACTATATGTTATTTTAATTAATTGTAGATTAAGAAATTTTAAGGTTAAATGCATAAATTAGTAGTACTTAATGCATTATGAGTTGTTTTTAAGACTTTGTACATAAATGTATAGTACTTTGTGCATTAAAAATTGTTTTTAATCATAATTTAAGCATACTTCAAAGCCAGTAAATATAATGTACTGACAAATTCTTTTTCTAGCCTCAAATATTTTGAGAAAATAGAAACCATCTATTTTATATATTATTCATAATGAATAAAGTGATGACTTATAATGATGGAGATCCTCGACGGGGATCGGAGCGGTTATGGGGACGGTTTTAATTATCGGTTTTAAGAACGGGGAAACTAATATAATAACCGGCCCGAAGCCGGCTCATTGTCATTCCTACTTATATACTTAAGTATTTTAGAGGTGATGAATAGTAAAGTAGATGAAGGATCCTATGAGAATAAATTGGCCTTTTTTTTAAGAGGTGCTAAACTCTGAAATCTTATTTCATTTCTGATTGATAAGAGGTGACCGTGAAGTCTGAAATCTAAATCAATAAGACTGTTTGGTTTTGTATATTGATAAATGTCTAAGTTTGTTTAAATTGTCTATTTTACCCGTTAGATAATTATAATGTTGAATTTATAGATAAATTTATACAGTTCCACATACATCATTACGAAATTTATATCTAAATTATATAATTAGCATTCATTTAAATGGTATTTTGACATATTTAAATCCTATTAAAATACATGATGATCGATTTAGTAAGGATCAATTGAGAGAAATGATCGATTAAGGTTAATCGATTGAGAAACGTCATTGCTGAGAATTTAAAGAACAATAAGAGTCAAATAAGAGGTTGGTTTTACCTCTTACCAGACAAGAGGATAATAAGACATAAGTGCCTTTGAAAAAAATGGAAAAAACAAGCAGTCTGAATGATTCTACCTCTTAACGAATCATATACTGATAAGAGTTATTTTAAATATAAAAAAACAAGGCCTAAGATGGTGAGAACACTTCTGAGCATTTGGAAGGGTATTTTTTTAATCTAACTTTATTTTTTTTTAACTACATTCATTTATCTTCAACTACATTCATCTACTTTTATTTTCAAATTTATCTTCACTTTCAAGTCATTTTCACGAACTTTTACATACATTTAAACACTTTTTTTATTAACCTGGATATCCAACCCGCTATGCGAGACGATTAATCTCAGGGCGACCACCTGCTTTGCAGATAGCCCGGAGTCACCGCATTTGAACCTCCGTGACCATAAGGGGATTTTTATTTCTCCTTGGATTTGAACCTAGAACCTTCTGGTACTTTTGACCTTTTGAGCCAAGCTCAAACCAATCAGGCACCACCATTGTGGTTTACATTTAATCACTTTCACAACCAAGAATTTTCTAAACTTTAGTTAGGATGATAAAAAGAAAGTAAATAAAAATAACTGAATGTAGATGAATGTATCTGAAGATTGTTTTCTAACGATTTCTTTCTATTTATCAACTACTTCAGTTCTCACCAAAAAGGCGTTAACATGCCTCACACACCCTTTTGCAGCCAAACTACAGTTGGCCACTGTGATACGTTATTTTTGTTTTGATTCCTATAACGTTTAGGGTTTGCCTTTTGCTTTCTGACATGACCAAAAAATGAAAACATTTAAACTACGTGAATAATGACATGACATAAAAATGAAGTTAGTTTTATTTCATCTTTTTTCCGATAAAGAGTTAGGGACCATTTACAAACATGAACCAGGTAAGAGTCACTATCCTCACATATCATTACCGGGTAAGATTTTCGGTCATCAAAATCAAATGGTATAGGCATCTCTTACCCGACAAGCGTTAACGGAGTAAGAGTCAATACCCTCATTTTACCGGGTTAAATTTGCCGGTTTATAAAATGACACGGTAAGATTGTTGATAAAGATCATCATTTCTTATCGGGTAAATACCTCTTAAATATTAAGAAACAATAAATGATCAGTTAACTAGTAAAAAACTGTAAGTGTTTAACTAATTGGTAAAAGACAGTTATGTTTTATTTCCATTAAAGAATTAAACAAAATAATTTATTATTTTAGAGGTGGTCTCATTATAAACCCAACAATCAGTACAAATCATAAAAAATGATCAGCATTTTATATTAGAAAATAATCAAGATATTCATCTGAATACATGAACAATTAAAATTGGTTTATATGATTTATACTAATGATTAGATTTGTACATAAAACTACCTGTTAATTGATACCGTTGGACCTTAAAAAATAAATATTCTATATTATATTATAAAGTATTTGAAAAAAACTCTTAAAAACCATTTTTTATGCATAAAGTACTGTATATTGATGCATATTACATAAAATTCAAGATTACAAGTGAATTATGCATAAATATAACTTATTAAATCTCAATATTTGAATTCGTGTAACTAACTCCGGATAAACATAATCAAATAGATGATAAACATCTCATTTTAAAATATATAAAATCTAAAGTATAATTAGGATAATTATCGAGTTCTAATAAAATAATTAACTATTATTTTTATAAAAAAATCATATTATTAAACCAATTATAAATTATTTTGTTATTAAACATAAATTTAATTATAATAAAAAATTGAATTAAAAAAATGTGAATTTATATATATATATATATATATATTAATTTTTATGATATCTTCAAATTTATATTTTATTAAGAAAAACATTATTGTTTGCTCAAAACCATATAAATTCGTATGATAACATCGAAAGAGACTAAAAAATGAAATACTGAAATCGAGATATATCTCACTGCATTAGTATACTTTTAGTAAGTATGTGTGTGTGTTAATATAGTACTAGAAGCGTACTCGCGCAATGCAGGGAGATACATCATGATTTTAATATTTCATTTTCTTCTTTATCTCAGTCGATTTTATAATATGGTTTTATGTGATTTTGAGAAAGCGATAATGTTTTTATTTTTGAATAAAATATATGTTTGAAAATATCATAAAAATTTGACAAAAATATATCGATATTAATATCAAATTAACTATTTGAAATTCCTCATTTTTTTGTGTAATTTTTTAATTCAATTTTTTATTATAATTTAATTTAGGTACAATAACGAANAAAATTGAATTAAAAAATTACACAAAAAATGATGAATTTTAAATAGTTAATTTGATATTAATATCGATATATTTTTATTAATTTTTTTATAATATTTTCAAATTTATATTTTATTAAAAAATAAAAACATCATCGTTTTTTCAAAATCATATAAGACCATATTATAACATCGATTGAAATAAAGAGTAAAATGAAATATTAAAATCAATATGTATCTCACCTCATTGTTCGAGTACCCTTCTAGTATTAATAAACATAACATACATGTAATAATTATTAATGACATACATCGACATGGGTTGGATTCATGTAAAATCAGTCTGTTTTCGTGACACCATATTTTTACACTTGAAATTTCACAGCAAAATATGGTGAAGCCGTGAAAGTAAAGAAAATTCAAAACTTCACAGCAAAAAACATTGTGAAAGTTACTTTCATTGTGTTTTACTGTGAAGTTTCAAGTGTAAAATAGTGGTCTCACGGGTCTCACAAAAACAGACTAATCTTACACGATCCCAAGTCTACATCAACACTATGATTTTTGTCAAGACCCGTTGGCCGTCCGATTAGGACATGACCACAAGATAATTAATGACAGACGGTGGATGATGATGGTCTCCATTATGAAGGTCAAATAATGTCATCTACTCTGGTCCCCACGAAACCAACACCACTGGTCCCCACGAAACCAACAGGGACACAAAGGCAAACATGAAGTGTGTTCTTTCATGTCTTCTAATTCAAATTATACAACGATCGACATAACACAATTAATATTTTAATAATTGATAAAATATATCAAAATATAAAAAAAAATGTTTTTAATATAACATAAATCTCTATCCATTAATTGTTTGATAAACTTAATAAGACCTACAACTTGTTCAGTTAATTATACATGACTGTTTAGTAGGGGTTTAATGATATAAAAAATGGTTTTTATGTAGAAAACCAAATCTTTTTCAAGCATTCACCTCATAACTAAAAAACATGCTACTTTCATCTATGAAAAAACTTGTCAAGCAAAAATTTTCTAATCTATATAGACAATTTAATCCACATAGACATTATATTATAAAGTATTTGACAAAAACTCTTAAAAATAATTTTATGCATGAAGTACTGTATATTGATGCATATTACTTAAAATTCAAGATTACAAGTAATTATGCATAAATACAACTTATTAAAGCTCAATGTTTGAATTCGTGTAACTAACTGCGGATAAACATAATCAAATAGAGGATAAACATTTCATTTTAAAATTTAAAAAATCTAAAATATAATTAGGATAATTATTGAGTTTTAACAAAATAATTAATTATTATTTTTATAAAAAAATTATATTATTAAACCAAATATAAATTACTTCATTATTGAACCTAAATTAAAATTATAATAAAACACTTTGAATTAAAAAAGAAAAAATTGCACCAAAATGGAACCAACTTTCACCTGATTCTTATTTTGGGGAACCAACTTTCACTTGATTCTTATTTTGGGAAACCAACTTTCAAAATCGTCATTTAGGGGTCTTTATCAAACTTTTTGTTTATTTAAGGGTCTAATTGATCTTTTGAACATGTAACAGGTAATTTAAGGGTCTCTATCAAACTTTTGGTTTGATTTGCCAAATTTGATTTAAACTTTATATTGATACGGATTGGTTAGATATAAAAATCTTGGATGTGATATTTAATATTTATTTTTTATTGCATCAAATAATTTTTTTCTATTAAATTGATTTTTTTAATGCATTAGTAAAAAATAATTTTTATTGTGATAATTTGGATTCTTTTTGAAAAAATCTTCAATTTGATATCTGAATTTAGAAGAAGAAAAAAACGAGATTTGAAATGAAAAATAGATTTTATTGCATTAATTTTTTTTTAAAAACGAATTGTAGTTATTTTTCTATAATTATTTTGTAATTTTAAATAAAACGTGAAATATTAGTTTTAAAATAAAAATTAATATGACGTGGAATATCTTAGTTGACAAAAAAATCTGGATGATATCAGTATTAACAGGTCAACAGGTCTACCAGACCCTTAAATTAACAAAAAGTTTGATAAAGACCCATAAATAATGATTTTGAAAGTTGGTTCCCCAAAATAAAAATCAAGTGAAAGTTGGTTTCATTTTAGTGCAATTTTCCCATCTATATCGATACATCTTCAATTCAAACATGGAGCTTTTGTTTATTTAAAAATTGAAAATTTTAAATAGTTAATTTAATACTAATATCGATATATTTTTGTCAAATTTTTGTGATATCTTCAAATTTATATTTTATTCAAAAATAAAAACATCATCGGTTTTTTTCAAAATCACATAAGATCATATTATAACATCGATTGAAATAAAAAATAATATAAAATATTAAAATCAAAATATATCTCACTGCGTTACGCGAGTACCCTTTCAGTACATACAAAACCAGATAAAAACCAACTAAACAACGCCTAAATCTGTTTTTTATTTAAAGAAATTGTTTATAAAATTGGTGGGGTGGCCCACCTCACCACCAAATATTCCGTAGGAATATAGACGTTGGAAGTTATATAATTGCACCAAACCTCCTTTTAATTTAATTATTTTATTTTATTTTATTTTATATATATAATTGTTCCAAAACTCTTTGATTGCTTTTTATAGAAACAAAGAAAGGGATGGCGATGGTGGAACTCTTGGCAGTCGGGTGCACGGCAATCGTCATGTTACTCCATGGAACCAATTTTGTGTTCCATGCTTTCGTTCATCAAATCTCCGTTCGAACGATCAGGTAAATGTTCTTTTGTTCGAATCTCTTTTTTACCTTTCGGTTTCCTGGTCAGCTTACGTGCACCGATTCACCATCTAACGACCACAAATCGTCTGGAGTCATCGTCGATGAATCTCTGTAGCTACAATGGTTTTGGTAGCCATCTGGATTCAAACCTTGGGAAGATAAGATTTGCATAACGATTTAAGAATACTGAGTAAATTGAAGTGTCATAAGATCAACTTGATGAAGATCTAATCTTAGTAGATTCTGATTTTTGAATCAGTGTTGACGAATGCTTTATGACGTTTTCTTACAATTTGTTGATACTTATTTGGCTAATTCTCGAAATCAGTGACTACAACGTTTTTGACCATATTAGATCGTAATTAAGGAGCCGTTTACCAAATGCTTATCTGGGTAAGCTCTTACCAAGTCACATTATTTTATCGGATGAATATAACAAGGACCAAGAATCTTATCCGGTAAGAGCGAAGACAAGGACCAAGAGTCTTACCCAATAAGTGATGGCGACGACTCTTACCATGGTTGGCGCTTACCGGGTAAATTATTACATACAATGTCGTTTTGGTGGACTCAAATTGTACCCAATAAGTAATGATAGTGTTAAATTTTACCGATAAGCGCTTACCAGGTAAGTGTTTAGGTAAACGGCCCCTAAGAAGTGTATATGAAAGTTTATAATGAACTTGTCGAAGATCAGATCTCATATTTCTTCATAACTTTTTTTGTTTTTCAATCTTTGCAGTTTCTTGGGATGTGTTTGGTAACATACAGATGCGGAGATGAGTCGTTGGTGGTTGGAATTCGATTTCCAACGGAACGGAATTGTGAATATTTTTATATAATTTGTAGACAATAATTTGCTTGGTTTGGAATGTATTATTGATGCATGTTCTAAAAAAACCCAATTTTAATGAAGATGACAATGATTAAGCAGTATTTTCTACATTTTAGAATGATATAATTATAATTGGTACAGAAAATCTTATATCATGTATCAACCAACTTCTTTCGATTGGTACATGTTGGTACGGTTTTGTACCAACTAAAAGTTAAAGTTATAAATTTATCTATACTATATTATAAAGCATTTGACAAAAACTCTTAAAAACCATTTTTTATGCATGAAGTACTGTATATTGATGCATATTACTTAAAATTCAAGATTACAAGTAAATTATACATAAGTACAACTTATTAAAGCTCCATGTTTGAATTCGTGTAATTAATTGCGGATAAATATGACCAAATAGAGAATAAACATCTTATTTTAAAATATAAAAAATCTAAAATATAATTGGGATAATTATCGAATTCTAACAAAATAATTGATTATTATCTTTATAAAAAAATTATATTATTAAACCAAATATATATTATTTCATTATTGAACCTAATTAAAATTATAATAAAAAAACTGAATTAAAAAAATTACACAAAAAATAGGAATTTTAAATAGTTAATTTGATACTAATATCGATATATTTTTATCAAATTTTTATGACATCTTCAAATTTATATTTTATTCAAAAATAAAAACATCATCGTTTATTTCAAAATTATATATGACGATACTATAACATCGACTGAGATAAATAATAAAATAAAATATTAAAATCAAGATGTCTCTCACTGTATTGCACGAATACCCTTCTAGTTAATATTAACATATTTACCAACTAGATTTAGATGCACTAAAACCATCAAATCTCCAAAATCCAAGTAACTTGCTGATATGTGTTGTACCACTTATCATTACATATACAAACATTTAAATAATTTTCATATGATACAACAATTTATTAACAATGTATTACAAACGGTCATTGAGAAGCGACAACGGACCATGGATGTGTGGATGTGTCATGACTTATGAAGGTTGTTAGGATTGGGTGAATGAATTCATTTCAGTTCTATCTATCTATCTATCTATCTGTATCATAATTTAGCAGAACTGAAAACAATAACATTTTAAATTTAATATCAAAATATGTTGTATTATACTAGATTTTAATTATTACAAAAATAAGTCGGTACGGTGTTAAGTGGCGAACGACTTCTAATACCATGTATCAACCAAGTTTAGATAGTTGGTATGGTACTACCAACCAATTGGGTTGGTACCGACTCAACTGGTACCATATTAAATTTGTACAGTTGGTATAAGAATTGGTTGGTTTGTCATGGTACAGAATTGACACCCCTACCCAATAACACTTGTTCATTATTTTGCTTTGGAATAAATGCATTCCTTCAAAATTACTTTTATCGACTTCTGCATCACATGGAGCGTTTGAGCTAGTTTTCAGGGACAAGAATAGATGTCGTTCTTGAGTGGCTTCAACCATCAAAAGGAAGTCATTTTGATGATCACCACAAGTATATTCTTCTAAACTGATGCAATATTAGTACGAAATGGTAAGCGTCAACTCCTAACTATGTTAATTCTTAACCAGTTGTCTCTGACTACATTGGCACATATCAGATAACTTACTAGGACGAATCCAGTTACCTCAAGATTTTTCAAGTATACAAGATCAACGATTCTAAGCATATATAGATATTTTCGGGACATATTCTGTTTATCTCTTTCAACTTCAAAATAGATTTTACACCACAGATCCTAAGAAAAAAACCCGTGTTTTGATTATTTTTTGTTCCCCATAAAATACCTATTTCAATTTTAATTTTAAGATATATTTGATGTTACGGAACTATAAAATCCATTCTTATACTGTACCAGTATAAATATAAGAGCATATCTAGCAGATTCTTTAATTTCATTTTCAAAATAGAGAATCAAAATTCAAAATCTCCAAAAAGAATTGCATTCAACTCCAACATATTCTTCATTTTGGAGATTACGTTCATTATATTATTAAAATAATTTATGTATTTATTAAAAATATTTATTTGTCACTAAAATCATTTTTGAGAGTTCTCCAAATTTAAAGAATTTCACTCCCTGTTTTGGATGATCTATTGGAGCAAAAAATTGCTAAGAATTCTTATTTTCTCAATTTTACTAAATCTGTTGATAACTAAAGGGACTGATTCGAGTCAAATTTAAAGTTAAAGGGGTTAAAGTGTATAAATGAAAACCTTATGTGTTCACGTTGGATATAACGCCCGTGAGTTTTGACCCGTTAACTATATGGATCCGACCCATGTATCTCCGGCGATTCTTTTCCCTCCACAATCCTCTTCAACCACAATTTGAACTCTGCAAATCGATCATTTTCGTTAAATGCATCCATGCTCTCGCCGTAATCACCGAAAATACGCAAAGTACGACTACTTTAAGAATAACCCACGATGCTGAATGGACACCCAGCTCAATTTCCTACTCAAAACTCTTATCACAATGCTGCCAATCGAAGTCTCTCAGTCCAGGGCTACAGATTCATACCCATCTGATCAAAATCGGGTTAGCGAATGATTCGAAACATAGGAATCATTTGATCAATTTGTACTCAAAGTGTCGGCTTTTTGGTTGTGCACGCAGGTTGCTCGATGAAAGTCCTGAACCAGATTTGGTTGCTTGGTCTTCTTTGATATCTGGGTATGCCCAGAATGGTCTTGGTGAAGAAGCCATTTTGGCTTTTTCGGAGATGCATTCATTGGGTATTAGGTGTAATGAGTTTACGTTCCCTAGCGTGCTCAAGGCGTGCTCGATTAAGAAGGATATCGTTGGAGGGAAGCAGATACATGGAATTGTGGTGGTGACTGGTTTCGAGTCCGATGTTTTTGTTGCAAACACGTTGGTTGTTGTGTATGCAAAATGCGGTGAGTTTTTGGATTCAAGGAGGCTTTTTGATCAGATACCGGATCGGAACATAGTTTCTTGGAATGCATTGTTTTCTTGTTACACACAGGGTGATTTCTTTAAAGAAGCGATATATTTATTTCAAGATATGGTTAGTAGCGGAATAAGGCCAGATGAGTTTAGTTTATCGACCATAATCAATGCATGCACAGGTTTACATGATGTAAACCAAGGGAAGAAAATTCATGGTTATTTGATGAAACACGGGTTCAGTTCTGATCCTTTTTCGTGTAATGCACTTGTTGATATGTACTCAAAAGTTGGAGATTTCGAAGATTGTAAACAAGTCTTTGAGCACATTCCTAATCCCGATATTGTTTCTTGGAATGCGGTTATTGCTGGCTGCGTGCTTCATGAATTCAACAATATGGCTCTGGAGTTATTGCTGAAGATGAGAAGGTCAGGAATAACACCAAATATGTTTACTTTTTCTAGTGTTCTTAAAGCTTGCTCTGGATTAGGTTTACAAGATTTAGGCCAACAGTTTCACTCCATTTTGATAAAATCAGACATAGAATTGGATCCATTTTTGTGTTGTGGGCTAATAGATATATATTCTAAATGTGGTGAAATGGATGATGCTACACGGGTATACGATATGATGCCAGAAAAACAGTTGATTGCACTAAATGCTCTGTTATGTGGACACTCGCAAAACGGAAACGACCTTAAAGCTCTATCCATTTTTGCGGAGAAACATAGGGAAGGAATAGGATTTAACGAGACCACTTTGCTTGCAATCCTCAATTCTGCAGCGGGTTTGCAAGATGTTAACGTTAGTGAACAAGTTCATGGGCTTTCTTTAAAAACCGGATTCCAATCTGATCCTTTTGTCGTAAACAGCCTCATTGATTCTTACGCAAAATGTGGTCATTTGGAAAAGGCGACGATGGTTTTTGATGATTCGCCTATTGGGGATTTGGCAACTTTTACATCTTTGATATCGGCTTATGTTCAATCGGGACAAGGTGAGGAAGCTATGAAGATATACTTAAAGATGCAGGATTTGGAGCTTAAGCCGGATCCGTTCATTTGTAGTTCTCTTCTAAATGCTTCGGCTAGTCTTTCTGCTTATGAACAAGGTAAGCAAATCCATGTTCATACCCTGAAATTCGGTCTTTTATCCGACGTTTTTACTGCCAATTCTCTCGTCAACATGTATGCTAGATGTGGAAGTATAGACGATGCAAGCCGTGCGTTCTCTGAGGTTCCCGAAAAGGGTATAGTGTCGTTTTCAGCAATGATTGGAGGACTTGCACAACACGGGCACGGCGAAAAGGCCCTTTCTTTATTCGACAAGATGCTAAAAGACGGTATTGCCCCTAACAACGTCACTCTAGTAAGCGTCCTATGTGCATGTAACCATGCCGGACTAGTAACTCAAGCTAAAAGATTCTTCGACTCAATGGAGGACGTCTTCGGAATTAAACCAACGCAGGAACATTACGCTTGCATGATCGACATTCTTGGCCGTGCTGGAAAGCTAGACGACGCGATGGATCTTGTAAACAATATGCCATTTGAAGCTAATGCCGCCATTTGGGGGGCGGTTCTTGGTGCTGCGAAAACTCATAAAAGTGTCGACCTTGGTCAACGAGCTGCCGAGAAGCTGATGCTTATTGAACCCGAGAAGTCGGGAACCCACGTTCTTCTTGCGAATATATACGCATCCGCCGGTTTATGGGATAACGTTGCGGAAATTCGGAGATCGATGAAAGATAGTAAGGTCAAGAAAGAACCTGGGATGAGTTGGGTTGAAGTTAAAGATAAAGTTCACACATTTATAGTAGGAGATAGAAGCCATTTTATGACCAAAGAAATCTATGAAAAACTTGATGAATTGATGGATTTAGTTGGTAAAGAAGGGTATGTTCCTGTTTTGGAGATTGATCTTCACAATGTGAAAAGAAGCGAAAAGGAGGTTCTTTTGTCGTACCACAGCGAGAAACTTGCGGTCGCTTTCGGGGTTATAGCGACTCCTTCGAGAGCTCCGATTCGGGTGAAAAAGAACCTTCGCGTTTGCGTAGATTGCCACACGTTTTTCAAATACGTGTGTAAAGTTGTCGCGAGAGAGATTGTCGTTAGAGACATTAACCGGTTTCATCATTTCAAAAACGGATCTTGTTCTTGTGGCGATTATTGGTGAACTTACTTAACTTTATTGGGATAGAGGTCAGGTCTGTATACATCTTTCCTTCCAGATCCATCTCTAGTTAATATGCTGGGATCTTGAAATTTCATGTTACTTTGTCATTTTAAGACATTTTTGTTGTTTTAATTTGTTTGGCAGTTGCTGAATAATTTGATGTAGAATGGTTAAGTGGTCAGAATGCTTAGTGTAGAATGAAATATGTTCGTTTGGTAACTGTATAGAATAGACAGTCTGAATGACAACAAATTATTATTTTTAACCCTCCGTATGGTGTAGTTCTTAATGAAATATAGTTGTTTGGTAAATATTTGAATAAAAATTTGCAAATATAACTACATACTTAATATTACTCGTTCAAAACAACATTTCATATTAATCCAAACAAGCATAACATTACTTGTTTAAGTTCTAGATCACGTAAATTAGCCATGCCATCTTCATCACCTCCTGCAATTTCTTCTTGTCCCTCAGCAATATACATGGGATCATTATCGTAATTTATGTAATCCATGAATAACTGATCATGGATATAACTACATAAGCCGTCTCATGTTTATCAATATCAAAAAACAATATCGAACTCCTTCCGAGCCGTCTCATGTTTATCAATTTCTTCTGTAACCAAACACTTACTCGGGTAAGCACTTACCAACTCACATTACTTCACTGGATGAATATGATAATGACTAAGGTGTCGTTTACCAAACACTTACCCGGGTAAGCGCTTACCAAGTTGCTTTACTTTACCAGATGAATATGGCAATTACTAAAAATCTTACCCGGTAAGAGTGAATGCAAGAATTGAGAGTTTTATCTGGTGAGGACGAGGACTCTTACCATGGTTAGCGCTTACCGGGATAAATTGTTGCATACGATGCGTTTTAGTGAATAAAATCTTATCCGATAAGTAAACGATAGTGTTGTATTTTACCGGTAAATGCTTACCGGGTAAGTGTTTAGGTAAACGGCCCCTTAAGAATCTTACCCAGTAAGAGCGAAGCAAAGACCATGAGTCTTACCCGGTAAGTGAAGACGACGACTTTTATCACGGTAAGCACTTACCGGGTGAATTGTTGCATACAATGTCGTTTTGATGGACTAAAATCTTACCCGGTAAGTAATTAATAGTGTTAAATTTTACCGGTAAGCACTTACTGGATAAGTGTTCGGTAAACGACCCTTAAGTTTTTTTTGACAAACAAGATTCACCTTCTAACGATTTAAAAGTTCAATCAAGAGGCAGACAAATAACTCTTTATATTATTAAATATTTTTAATAATATAATAAATATTAAATCTTCAAAATAAAGAATATTGGAGAATATAATTTTTTTAATTATCTAAAAAAAATATGAAAAATTGTTTTAAATGCTCTAATCAGCAATTAAAAAAAATGTACAATTAGCAATGCATCATGTACAAAAAATCACAGCAATCCTTAAAACTGCTGTAAATTTCTTCACATCAAAATGGAGTCTTCTAACAGTATCGTCAACAATGAATACTTCACTTTCACCCTAATTCTACCTCCCTCCACACACAGCTTTGCTCCGGTCACCACCCAATATCCCGGAGGATCTTCCGGGCCCCGCACCATCTCCTTCGTGTCCACGAAACTCGACATCTTTGGCGGTCTCGATGGCGGCCCATCCGGATAGATGGCGGAGTTCAAATCCACCTTCACCGGCTTCTGTTCCGGTGTAGCAAGTCCCATGCTGAACGGTGTGCTCATCAACGTCGACATGAGTCCCGATTTCCGAGAATGCATGGAGGGTCCGTCCCATTCGGACCGTCGGATCTTTGCCGATCCGACCGTTGAGTATCCTAGTTGGAGGAAGAGGACCTTTTTCATACCGACGCCTTTGACTTCGAACCATGCTTTGGTGACGATGGAAGCCGAGTCGTCGATGTGGGTCTCGGTGTGCTCGACCGGGACAGTGCACACGTGCGAGAATATGTTCCATTTGACAGGCTCGACATACCCTTTTTCGATTGGCTCGTAATTAGGTTTGTAGGTGATGTCGTCGGAGAGTTCGAGCATCTTTGGAACCGAAGAGAGGTGTTGTAGATGGATGGCTAGCCGGTCGCTCTTCCGTCCTTCTAAGTACAAGCGTACGCCAGTGACCGGCCGATTCTCGGAATCAACCTGTAAACACACAACCATCAATTTTTTCGATAGCCAAACGAACCCAATATATTCCACACAGAGTCGGTATCTGGAGGTAGAATGTAAGCTAAGGGTGCGTTTGATATTCAGACATGTTAGCACAGAACAGGACATGTTGTTCAACGTTTAGTAAGGCAAAACTGGACAAAACATAACAGATAAAATAACCAATTTATCCCTAATGAGTTGTTTATGATTTTGATTAATTTATGTAATTTATTAATTATAATAAGATAAATATTTAATATATCATTATAAAGACGATTAAAAGTGACACCAAAATGAAAAAATTATGTAGTTTCCAATGTTTATTTTATATCTTTTCTATATTAATATTAATATTAATATTAATATTTAATAAATTACATAAATTAACCAAAATATAGAAAGCATATAAAAATAATATTTTGAGATGAGTAACATGAAAGTTTAAAGAAAATAAAATAATATAAATAAAATTTCAAGAACGAACAGGGAGACGTATTTGATGTTTTAGAAGAGAATCAAATTTTATTTTGAGGTTATATTGGTAAAATATAAGTCTATTCCACCTTGTTCCATCACATAAAAGTCCTGCTAAACGTGGAATTCATCTTTTGTCCTGTGTACCAAACGCACCCTTAATTCAAAAAAAAATGTCGAGATTTTACCTTGGTGGTATTGACATAGAGCCGAGGACCCAAGAAAGTGAACTGAAGCGATGGGGTCGGGTTTCTTTTGCGTCGAGGAGCAAGCGCAAGATCACTGTATGCCGGCGCCCATTGCCGTGGCAATTGGAACTCCAGAAATTGATCAAGTTCCTCAATCGGCGGTTTGTCTATGAACGATGAAAGCAAATTACAACATAAAAAACACGTTTCAACAAATTCCCTCTACTTTTTCGAAAATCAATCTTCCATCCGTGCACCCATATATAATAAACGAAACAAACTCACATCGAAGGTACAGATTGATCGCGTGGCTCAGAAATCCACTACCACGAACACCGCTTAGAAGTGCAACGATCGGAACAAACGACATAGCGATGACATTAGGCGATTGTGATACAGTCGAAAGCCAACGTTTGTGGCTTTGACCTTTGTCAATACCTCCCCGACGAACATGAATGCTAAGTAGATCCTGAAAGAAAACAATCGAATAGCTGTTATGTAACATTCCAGGCCAATCGTACCAGATATTCTCCGCTTTATCCATGCCTCGACTCGCGGTTTCTAAAAAGCGTCGGATAGAGGAGGTATTCCAGTCCCTTATGGGTCCATTTGGTATCCAGGATAAGACACGACAACTGTTCAGCATTTGGTAAGACAGAACTGGATATGACAGAATAGAAAGTTTATGTAGTTTACAATTTTTATTTTATACACTTTCTATATTACTTTTTATTATTAATATTTAATAAATTAACCAAAATATAGAAATCATAAAAAATAATATTTTAAGGACAGTAAAGTGAAAGTTTAAAGCGCATAAAATACAATAATTAAAATTTAAAAAATGAATAAAATGTAAAGACATAGAAGTATTTGATGTCTTAGAAGATAATTAGATTTTATTTTAAGGTTATATTGGTAAAATATAAATCTATTCCATGGGGGTCTTTGTGCCACTTTATCCTATCTGTTCCACATAAAAAACCTACCAAACATGGAACGGTGGAATTCCCCTGTTATCCCTGTTCTGTTATGTCCCTATTTTTTTATCTCCCATCCAATGTACCAAACGTACCCTATATGGCAACCTCTGTTCCCCTCCCAATGAATGTGGGATCTCACATCTTTGAAAGCAACAGACTGAGCCAATAACCTCCAAATCAACTCAAAACCATGATGAAAGTTATTGTTTGTCCATAGCTTTGAGCTTATAACGAGCTCATAAATCTAATTTTCTACCCATCTGGGACAAGTTGTTAGAAAGGCGGTCGGGAAACTAAGAGCTTACGTCCTTCTTGGAGCGAGAAACAACGGATTGTCGTAGAGAATTCGCGAGTACCGGAGGGAGATCCCAAGCTACGGTTCGTTCATCCTGTATGACACCACAATTGCAGTAAGAACACAACTAATGTAATGTTTATAAAGCAATACGAATCAAAATGCAACAATCTTTGGTTTAGTTCCTATTTAGTGCAACGAATAAATATTTTTTTCTCGATCTACATAACAAAGTTTCAAGATTTTCTATTTTGTACCAATTTTGACCCGTAACCTGCTCAGCCCGTGGCATTTGATGACATAAATACTCGTTTAAGAAATGGTTACGACAAAGTGGGCGATAAACTTGACAGACACGTTATCGAATGTTACAAGATCAGCAAGTAAGCGATCAAAATGGGTACGAAACGGAAAAATTTGAACCCCAAGAACCAACTATTCATGTTTTATTCAGGAAGAATATGCATGATATTCATCAAGAATATGCATTATACGAACTATATCTATATGGTAACAGTTGTTTGATGAACGTACCTTTTGCTTTAACGGTTTATCAGATCCCGAAACAGAAGCTTCAGATAAATCTTCGGACAATTCATCATCTGCTAGCTGCTTTACCAAATTCTGCACTTCCGCTGGCTCAAGATTTGAACTTTGTAGCTGCTTTAGGTAAATTACATCTTTACCCCCCATCTTTACCCCAACGACAATATGAGTACCATATTTATCGATAAACCTGAGAAAACGAGGTTACTTAGCTTAAGATTCTTACAAGATCAAGCAAAGTCACCATATCAAGTAAGAGTATTATTCCCTCCATCTCAAAATAAGTGTCCATATTTCTATTTTAGTTTGTCCCAAAATAATTGTCCAATTTAAAAAGTAAGTGTCTACTTCCCAATTCTACCCTTAATCATGAGATGCAAAACTCATACGCAATCAATTTTAAGGGTAAAATTGTCATTTGCCCAGATAAAAAGTGTAATAAGTACACATTTCTAGTGTCTACTTTCCAACTCTACCCTTAATTATGAGATGGAAAACTCATTGCTCCCTCAATTATTAAGGGTAAAATTGTCATTTGCCCAGATAAAAAGTGTAATAAGTGCACATTTCTAGTGTCTACTTTCCAATTCTACCCTTAATTATGAAATGGAAAACTCATTGCTCCCTCTATTATTAAGGGTAAAATTGTCATTTGCCCAGATGAAAAGTGTAATAAGTACATTGTTTTAAAACCGTATGCCTTTTTCATTGTGGACATTTATTTTGGGATGGAGGGAGTCGTATACTAGGATCAGGACCACCAAGACTTCTTCAGCACAATAATATGTTGGGTTATTTGTACAAAAAATGTTGACTACGCAGTTTTGTTTTGACTTTCTATATATAGCATGTGGACCACCAAGACTTTGTCGACGTAAATAATTTGTAGGGCCTGTCTTCTTTATACAAAGAGTTGAATATGTCTAAGGGGTTGTTCGGTTGTTTTTCCATTAAGCTCTGTATGGATAAAGTTGTTTATATAGATTAATCCGTCTAGAAGCAAGGTGTATACAAAATAGCGAAGGGAAATCGGTCAATTGGTATATAGCCAGACATGAACCAATATATCAGTCACATGGTCCCCCTTTCAAGAAAATAGCCGCTCTACTCTCATTGATGAAATGAGGCGTATTACTTTTGTCTTCCAAAAGAAATTAGAGAGGCACGGGCTATAGTTTTACGTTCATTGATGAAAGACCCTAAACAATGTAAAATTGGACCCCAAAATTTTGGGGGACCTGTTCTAAATCACACATTTAACATGCTAAAGAACGGCCCTGTCCACTCTCATGCTAAAGGACAGTTCTGCATATATCTCACCCCCCCATGTCCCATCAAGGTTATTTGCCCTTTCTGACAAATTTGTTTTAAATGCATGACCTTCTGACAAATTTAAGAACGCCTATGCCATATAGTCATATCGCTTGACAAATTTGGTTTGAGCTTGGCTCCAAAGGTCAAAAGTACCAGGAGGTACCAAGTTCAAATCCAAGGAGGAATAAAAATCCCCTTGTGGCCACGAAGGTTCAAATGTGGTGACTCCGGGCTATCTGCAAAGCAGGTGGTCGCCCTGGGATTAGTCGGCCCCCATAGCGGGTTGGATATCCAGGTTAATAAAAAAAAATATGCTCGTACGAACTTAAGAGCATTTTCACGTCCATTTAACAACAAATTCCTTAGGGAACATTCAGATATCAAGTTTCATAAGATGAGTAAAAAGGTCATACTCGGCAAGTGCAGTAGGGTCCCACGAAGAAGGCACTTCTTGCTTCACCTTCTTAGATAACGTGATTTGCGCTTTTGCTAACTCGATGTTGTACAATGTAATAAACCAACCATCGAAAGCTAGATTCTTCGTGGTGGGCGCGTCTTTTTGCCAACACCCTTTATAACCAAACATCGAATTGAAATGCCCAGAAGGTATCTTTCCCGATAAAGATAAATCCTGATTAAACTGCTCCGACATCTGATATACACACACACATATACATATAAATATATATTAGAATTATCACCGTATCCGGTTAGCATTGACTTTTGAGGTCAAACCTATCATGTATCAATTCAAAACCAACAAGGATTCTACTAATGGTATATGTTCATTAACATCCACATGCTTTTTTTAAGTTTATATAATTCATATACATATATCATGATATTTGTGAGAGTATATAAAACTCTTTCATTAGATTACTCTTCCAAAGAGTCGTTTTAAAAAAGATTCCAACGTATGTTGAGCGGAAATGGTTCAAATTTGTCTGATGGGACACTCTAACATGCCCCCTTCAATAGAGGGGGCTAGACCAGTACATATTGCCCCTAGATTGTGGAGTATCTAAAGTGATAGACCCACTCTAATATCATGTCAGAATATGCAGTACCACTCCAAACAAGATAGGTCCCAACATATACGGCCTAAGTTTGGCAGATGTGAGACTCAAACATGCCCCCTTCAATAGAGGGGGCATGGATGTGTCAAAAGAGAGCTAGACGACTACAAATTGCCCCCAGATTCTACAGTATATAGAGTGAAAGAGGGAAGTTAAAGGGGAAAACCCGAAAAAAATGAAAAACTGAGGAACATCCTAGTAACTGAATGGGGTTTTTGTACAACAAGTTGCTTATATATATTACTTGTGTGCATATGTATATTTTCATTTTTTTACGGTTACCAATCAAATTACTCACAAAAATGGGGACTCTTAAGGGGGTGTTTGGGATTGCTTAAAAAACAATTTATTGACTTATTCCGGTGTGACATCGGTAACAATCACTTTTGAGTGTTCATATAAACAACTTACATCGATGCCAAACCGGTAATAAGAAGTTTTTGAAGAAGTTAAACCATTCTGACTTATAACAAGTTACAGGTGCTTGAAAAGTATAGGTTGTTTGAAATAAGCAATCCCAAACAACCCCTTAAACAATATCATTACCAATTTCTGATTCAAAACTTGCTAGGTCTGAATTCAAAAGTCAAAGGGAGAAATTAGGTCTGAATTTGAAGTTAAAAGTGGGCTTACCTGATTAAACGAAAGAACATCTGAATGAAACCTGGTTCGTTCGCCTTTATCGCACTTAATCGACGAAGGAACATTGGGAACAACGACGCCGCCGGGAACCACCAGATCCTTAGTTAGGGTTTCATCGAGTTCGATCAGGGTTGACCCGGATGGACCCGGTTTACAACCGGTTAACCGGATATCGCAAGTGAGATCATAACCATACCCGATCACAGAGACCGCCTTCTCCGCCGCCGATTGAGGATCAAAGAAATTCGTCTTGTAAATTGACATTTTATCCGTCTACTTCAGCTTCTAGGGTTTCAAAGTATTCGATGAATTTAGGAGAAAAACGATGAATCCAGAGAAGGGAAAATTGGGGGTTTCGTAAAATTGTTCACATGAAACTCTTTTTGGGGTTATGAAAAATGATTTATCGAGATTGAGTTGGTGGAAAGCTTCGTTGGTTGGTCATGGTGGTGGGTTTGTGGAGTTGGACAGTGTGAATGGAGGTGGTGAACAATGGCGGCCGAATGGGTGTTGTGGGTTGGTGACACGTGGCAAATGGTATGGCTGTAAGAGCTGACCTTTTAGAGTCCTTGAAGTACGAATTAATCAATGAAAGCTACTTTCCCTTAAAAAGAAAGACTTGGTCGTTTTAATCTTACCATATCAACTCAATTAATTTAAATCATTTAGTTCTTTATTCGGACAAAAGTTCATCAAACAACTTATTTATTTGTTTCGGCGTAACACTGGTAATAAACATTTTTTAGTGTTTGGATAAACAACTTATATCGATGCTAACCGGTAATAAGAAGTTTTTGAAGAAGTTAAAGTCTTCTGACTTATAATAAGTTGATAAATGTTTTTATAGAAAAACATAAATTGTTTCAAGTAAACAATCCCAAACACCCCCTAAATAAAACTTGTCTTCAAAGATACAGATGTAAGGGGCGTTATTTGACTCACTCAGGGTCTAAGACTGTAGGAGGGGGCGAGATTGAACCTGAGAACTGTCTTGTATTCGGGCAAAATGATCCTACCCTTTTATCAATTGAGTTACACGGCGAAGGCCATTCATTTATTTATTCAACTTGGAGTCTAATCTTCAATTTTATTCAAGATTTTTTTAGTTTGCTTTATATTATTCTTCTAAAAATATTAAATCTTGTCAGTTTTTCGACAATGAAGTTTATCTGTGGTCTCCTCATGGCTTCTAATAGCCACTTGTATTTTCATCTCAGTTGAACGACCATCACTATTAAAAGGGTTCATGAATATCGACCCTCGAGTTTGACAACTGTAACAAGTAATGCTGGTAACTTTATTCTCCGCAAGTGATCCTTTCCGCTTATGACTTGTTTTTCCTCTACGTGTGTTTCTGACCATACATTTAAGCTCAATGTTTGCCCCCTTAGAGGAGATTTTGAAATTTCTCTTATTTTATATCTGATTGTAAGATATAGAAAATTTATCGCTTTATTATTAAGAGTAAATGTGTCTTTTGGTTATTTATAATGTGTAATAACTATCAAATTAATCAACTTCTGTAATTTTGATATCGATATATTGTTTGCTATTGTATTTTCTTTGATTTTGGAACGCCCCAAGTTTTGGGGCAAGAAGTAACGTCAATGGTTGAACCTAATTGGAAATTGTTTTAACTTGTGGGCCAGGGGAATTATTACGACTTTGAGGGTGATGGACAATAGTTGGCAACTGAGCAATGTATACGTTTTTATGATTAAGATGGTGGAAACTACAGATAAAAATCACTTGTCCCAAATTCTCATGTTATATTCTCGTTTACCAATCGCATGAGTACACATCAGTAGATAGAGAATGTGAACTTTTAAGAAATAAATTTAAAATATATAAGATATGATGTGTCATCGTTTCATTGGTGGGACAAGGATAAAACGTGTGATTTTGCGACAACAGATTTTTTTATCCAGAAACTACCTTACCATTTCATTCCCCACTAAGTAAAAAAAATCCATAAAAATATTGAGAGAAAAGGGTCGAGTTTTTTGGTCTAAATGAAGGAGAAAAATGATCAAGTATGCAACGAGTTCTTTAGCAAAAGTAAGGTACAATTCAAGCATCAAACTTCGGTCCTATGGCTTAATCAGAAGCATCATAAGTTGTAGAATCGGTCTAGTATAGAAAATGGTTCGAGAATGCGGCATCAAGGTCACGAATTTGACAGAAAATGGATGTTGTAGTGTCCTTGATAATATAATAGGGTTATGTTTTTTTTTATTAACCTGGATATCCAACCCGCAATGCGAGCCGACTAATCCCTGGGTGACCACCTGCTTTGCAGATAGCCCGGAGTCACCACATTTGAACCTCCGTGGCCACAAGGGGATTTTTATTTCTCATTGGATTTGAACCTGAGACCTCCTGATACTTTTGACTTTTGGAGCCAAGCTCAAACCAATCAGGCACCACCCTTGTGGTTAATAGGGTCATGCTTTACGTATGTGTATGTACCAATTACACATCTAGTGTGTCGTTTTCTGAGCATAGGTGGAAGCGACTAAGACAAGCCCATGATCCCTTCTCCAATCAACCAATAATCTCTTTCAACTATGAGGGTTCTGTACTTAAGTTCAATTGCTACTAAATACTATTAATCTGTTTGAGAGCTATGTCAATGGACCGAATGGTTACCCCTGACACAAGTTCTTTTGGAAAAAATGAAATTGCATTGTTTTATATGAAGTTCTGAAGTGAGGTGCAACCGAAGGAAGACAATATGTCAACTCAGTACAATGACATGACGTATCCAAAATGAAAATCTTGAACATGAGTGACCTCATAAAGAGCAAATAAATGCTGATGAAAATGAAATTTGAAATTGGAACCCCCATAATTTGAGTCTACCATGTATCAACTGACCAAGAAACAACACCATTAAAAATGCCCACATGAGCACTGCCAAGAAAAAACGTAGTTTTATCTCGATATCATTTCAACCACAGATAAAAGGGCAAACACCAGAATGAAAACTAAGGTACCCAACTACAAAGAAAATACAAAAAAAATAACACTTAATTTCTCTATAAGATCTGAAAAGTAAGATGGATGGTAAAATCTGATTGTAAAATCTTGACCAAAATGGTCTCTATCTGATGCATTGCAACACTTTTGAAAATGGACATTTATTTTAGAAAAAAATAAAATAAAAATACAGACATTTATTTTAAGACAGATAATTTTCTAACCATATCTAAAATACACAGTTTTTTATATTAATAAAACATTAAAAATTGAATTGTAGATAAAGGAAATGACCAAATTCTACCAAAAAAATATTTTTATTAAATTATATTTTGGATTTAATTATGGTGGTGGTCCATGTGGTCTGTTCAAAATTGTTTTTGGTCTCTGAAACGAATTATCTGAATTTATGGTTTCTAACTCTTTGATTTTATAACACTCAGGTTTTTGGGATTCATACCGTTAGTTAGCAATCATTATGATAGAAATTAATCTTTGGGCAAACTGTATGGATCAAAAATTAATTGCGATCCACATTTTTTAATTTTTTATTAAAAATACTTGATATGCATGAACGGGACCCATAGAAGGGAATATGGTGGCATGTGCCACCGTATTATCTCTCTATCGAAATGTTAAAAAGTTTACGTTTATTAAAGGTACAACCGTATCGTTTTAGAATATGTCATCTTATGATATTCAAAAGTTCAAGAAGGTGCAACCGTACCTCGTAATCAACCAAGAAATAAAAGAACTCTTGAAATCAACCAAAAAACAGAAAGAGTCCCTCGAAATAGACAAAAAAAACTAAAAAATTACTTGAAATCAAGCAAAAAACTTTAAAAATCCTTCGAAACAGTGGAATTAGACTAAAAACACATCGAGCAATATTGAAAGTTAGTAAAAACATGAAGACGTGTCGATAAAAACTGTGCTTTTTGTAATTAATTTTTGTCTTAATTAGATGGTGCCACCGTATAAAAAAAAATTCTAGGTCCATCCGTGTATATATGTCCAATCACAAATAGGGATTTGCATCGGGTGGGGCGGGCTCAGTTGGACAAATCAAAAACCCGATCGGATTTCAAATATGGAAACCAAGCCCCGAATTTTAGGTTTCAGATTTCGGATTGCTTCGGGTTCCAGTTGAGGTCGGGTTTCAGGTTGAGGTCAGTCGAGATCGGATATAGTTATAATGCAAACAGTATATCTATTTAATCGATTGTGAATATGAATTCAATCGATTGAGAGAATTGATAAAATTGATAATAGAATTAGAAATTACAAAAAATAATTAGGTAAATAAATATATTTATATGGTGTTTAAAACATAGAAATATATATATATATATATATATATATATATATTTTTTTTCAGGCTTTCGAACGGGTCGGATTGCCAAAAATCAAAACCAACCGGAACCCAAATATTCCCCGAGAAGTTGGGTTTCAAATTTTCAAATTTCAAGGTATTCCGTTTTTGCACAAACACCGACTTTTCGGATCTGGTTTATTTATTTTTAATAACTATTAACTTGACAAAATGAATTTCGTGTCAAAGGGTCCCAAATTTAGAAAAAACAAAAGATAAATTCCACTCAAAATAAACCCAATATGTCAATATCATCTATCTATACTATATTATAAAACATTTGACAAAAACTTTTAAAAACCATTTTTTATGCATCAAGTACTGTTTTTTAATGCGTATTACTTAAAATTCAAGATTACAAGTAAATTGTGCATAAGTACAACTAATTAAATCTTCATATCTGAATTCGTGTAAATACATTATAAACATCTTATTTTAAATATAAAAAAACTAAAATACAGGATAATCATTGAGTTTTAATAGAATACTTAACTATTATCTTTAAAAAATATTATATTATTAAACTAAAAATAAATTATTTCATTATTAAACTTAAATTAAATTACAATAAAAGAATAAATTATATAAAAAATGAGAATTTTTAAATAATTRATTTGATATTAAMATYGATATATTTTTTTTYMAAWTTTYTATGWTATATTCAYATTTATATTTTATTCAAAAATAAAATCATTATTGCTTTATTAAAAACACATAAAATCATATTATAATATCGACAGAGATAAAAAATAAAATAGTACATTAAAATCGAGATGTATCTCACTGCATTGCGCGAGTACCCTTCTAGTAGTTTATAAATAAATAAAAAAGAAAATGGATAGAAACGTAATTCTATGGGCCATGGGGTGGTGTATATGATTTGGGCCGGGGTCTACATTCTTCAACCATTGGCCCATATGGCTTTGAATATTGTTCGGTATTAGTGGGCCTATGGCCCAGCGGTATCCGGTTACATAAAACCCGAAAATCTAAAAAGCCGAAAACTCGAGCTTTGCTAAAAGCAATACAAGTTTCGTCTAGGTAATAGTGAAACGTGCAATACTAAAAGGTTACGGTCCTTAGGGACTACAAAGGGTTTAAAATTTTCGTGTACGATTCATTTTGGC